AATAGAGAACTCAAAAATACCCTAAATATAAAGGTAAATTTATGTGCATTGAAACAAATTTAGTTGACAATTTTTCCAGATTTAGGACTAAGATTTCTAGTTTTCATTCATATCATCATATGAACAACCGAAAAGTTTTGTGCCATCACATTAAGCACCGAATATTCAAAAGTAGATTTTAATACAGTTCCATAATTTCAGCTGGACCAAAAGGAAAAAATAGCTGTAAAATACACATGGAACTATAAATGAACAAGCTTTTCAGATTTCAAAATATGGACCAATGAGCAGCCACTGTTGTGTTCTTCAAAAAGGCATGAGTGCGATTCTGAAGCTGATATAATGCTGAAAATTAGAATTCCATTTCTGATTCTCTAGTCCTCGCATTAATAATACATGTTCTTTACCTTCAGCCCCATCCCCATCCCCTGCCATGGCAGTGCTATGCATTTTGGATTGTTAACACAAGGTAAATAAATCTTTTAATACAGCAATTGTGACAGCAATTATGCTTAGTAGCAATCCAACAACAATAAGGAGTCCGATATGTTATTGCCATGATTCGGGACTAACTAAAGGTTAATTAATTTCTGTAATAATCTTTTAGATACCACAAACATATTCCATGGCGCCGTGGGTGGGAGATGTTCATGGATAGATTATCCCAAATTCCAAAGTTAATTGAGCAAAAACAGCCGAATATTCTTCTATATCCACTATTCAACTATGGTCTGCTTCCTTCCACAAACTTCAACCTTGTGCCCAGAAGGCAACAAGACATTGTGTCGTTTGGACTACTTGTTCACAACAAAGATCTGAATGAAGAGGCTTTGACCCATTTGATCCCATTCTTCCAGAATATCCATCAAACTGCGTTCCCATGACAACATTAAGCTATTTTTTAAATGAGTCCAGTGCTTGGCTTCAACCACCCTCCTGGCAGCCTGATTCATTTCTTCTTCTTCTGCTGTTTTGGTACATGTACATTCCTAAAATATTGTTGTCAGTTTAATTTTTCAACCCCGGGCAGAATTCTGCTATTTGTTGTCAATTTGAAATGTTATTAAAGAGTATATCAAGAGACTAACTCATTAGCAACATTAAAAAGCAATTCCTTAAAAATTCTTAGATACTCCAAGCAGCTTAATCCCAATTTACATGTTTGTTCATATCAATCTGTACTTCTCTTCACTGCTCTAACAAACCATATATGGTAGAGCCTTGAAATGCAATTCCACTCCACCACTTTTTCCTCAAACAGCTCTGCACCAGCTTTAATAACAACAATGCCTGAATTTTTTGGAACCTTTAAATTATTGGTAAATTATAAACTGAAACATGAATTATCAAAATAGTTCTGTATTTGCCTGGGATTGTTGTCTTATGTCAAATCATGACATAATAATAATCCTTGCATTTGATATAGCGTCTTATCGCATCGTTGAGACGTCACAAAGCTCTTCACAGAATATACTGTAAAGTTAACTGACTGTAGCAGCCAATTGCACAAAGAAGTGTCTTACAAACAGTCATGGATTGATTGACCACATTTTTTTAAGGGATTATTACCCCTGGAAAGCGATTCGCCAATCGACTAACAACCATGTTCCTACTCACTGCTAAGTAAACAGAGGTGTGTGGAGTAAGGAAACTTGCTCAAGATTTCGCCTTGGATTCCGTCACAGGCTAGTTAGTGCTCTAACCAATACGCTAAAACGGCAACAAAACTCAAACTGCTCAACATTATCCAGGGGAAGAGCAGTTTGCTTCATCAGCACCATGGCTACTCACTCAGCTTAACATCCATTCCCTGACCCACAGAACATTGTGGCTGCAGTGGATACTATTTACAGACTGCACTGCAACAACTTACCAACCTTACTTGAACAGCACCTCCCAGACCTGAGACCTTTACCATTCAGAATAACAAGAATAGTGTCATGACAGAAATACTGTGACGGTAAACAGAGGCGTATGGAGTAAGGAAACTTGCTCAAGATTTCGCCTTGGATTCCGTCACAGGCTAGTTAGTGCTCTAACCAATACGCTAAAACGGCAACAAAACTCAAACTGCTCAACATTATCCAGGGGAAGAGCAGTTTGCTTCATCAGCACCATGGCTACTCACTCAGCTTAACATCCATTCCCTGACCCACAGAACATTGTGGCTGCAGTGGATACTATTTACAGACTGCACTGCAACAACTTACCAACCTTACTTGAACAGCACCTCCCAGACCTGAGACCTTTACCATTCAGAATAACAAGAATAGTGTCATGACAGAAATACTGTGACGGTAAACAGAGGCGTATGGAGTAAGGAAACTTGCTGAAGGTTTCACCCTGTCCGGGAATCGAACCTGGATCCTCTCACTTGTGAGGCGAGTGCTCTATCCAATCACCTCCAGGTTTCTCTCCAAATCACATACCATAACTAACACAAATGACTGCTGAGTTTGCTTATAAAAGATCACTACACTAGACATTAAGTACTTGCTAGACGTTTTGAAACTTTACACATTGTATAAAATATGTGTTACTTCTTTGTTTCTTATTATTGGATATAAGAAAAAATGGGCAGTTCTTGCCATCTTTAAATTCCACCCTGATTCCCTGTATATAATTTGCCCCTTTTTTTAAATGAAGATTTTATTGTATTTCACTTCCTTTATTGTTCAAAGAACAAAACAAAGCTATCTGATCACAGCAGTCTGACAGGATATGCAGTTGTGAAAGTCTAAACACACTGAGGCTATCTACATGGCATTGTTAACATCAGTGTTTTTTTCTGTCAAAGGCAGCACTGCAGTATTAATGATGTATACAACAAAAAAATCAATGTCCAAACTCCAGGAAAAATGGTGAATAAATTGCTAACACATCTGACATATTTTGTTTATAACTTGTGGTGCTTGTGTTGCGGTGTGAAAATTGGCTGCCTTATTCGTGTATAACTTACTCAGTCAATTCACTTTACAGATATCCTGTGAAGAAGCACTTTTGAGATGTCTTCCTGATGTGAAAGGCTTTATATCAAATCCAATGATTATTATTTTTTAGAAGGCAAATACTCTCTGTAAATGTTTAGTCTGAATCCATCTAAGACATCCAGTACAATTTCTATTCTCATTTCAGTTTCAAAATGAAATGTAAAATAAATATAAATGTAAAACAAAGCCTTGTTGCTTATATGATTTATTCCCTCCCACCTTCAAATTATCTTTTCTTTTCGCCTACCTTTCCATTTCCCTCTTGTATGTTTTTTCCATACAAAAAAGGCAGATGAGCCAGATGGTCCCAGCCCTCTGCCAATATCACTATAATTGGCTGCTTGAAGCACATAAAAGTAATTCGGTTTCATTGGCCTTTAAGTTTTCCGCTCTCCCTATGAGGATGAGCTTATCTTATTTCTGTCACCTCCCTGACAGCCTTGCTGAGCTGGAGAATCTTCCATGTGGGAATTGGACAAAATATGTATGTCAAAATGCGTTTGTATGTCAGTCTGTCTCAGTTGGTAGCACTCTTGCCTCTGAGTCAGAGAGTTGTAGATTCAAACCTCACACCAGGACTACAAATTTACAGTCTAGGCTGACACTCCAATGCAGTGCTGGGGGTGTGTTTCATTGTTGGAGGTGCCTTCCTTCGGATGAGATGTTAAACCAAGATTCCGCCTGCCTGTTCGGGTGGATATGAAAGATCCCATGGCACTATTTGAAAAAGAGAAGGAAGTTTCTCCTGGTGTCCTGTCTATCAATCCCCCAAATAAAATTGGTCATTCACTGGGATATTGTTGTGTGTAAAATAGCTGCTGTGTTTGCCTACAAAATTTACACTTTATAGTATATACTGTGAAGCACTTTGAGACATCCTCCTAAGGTGAAACGTGCTAAGTCAAAATGCGAGGATTATTATTGACTTCTTCTATTCCCTGCTTGCCTCCCAGTCTACACTCTCCATAATCCACCACTCTCTGACGTGAAAGGTGCAATATCAAATATAAGTATTATTATTATAACATAATATCGCCAAACCACCAATCCAATAGAATTTTGATATAAAGTGATATCAGAAAATTCCATTCCATAAGACTGCATTGGATAAACGATGCCTGAGAAAAGATGAATATAGAATTTGTAAATTGCTCCCAAATCAGCAGATTAACAAGTATGGGGGTGGGGGTGGAGGTGGAGGGGCGGGGGTGTGGGGGGGTAGTTGCAGCTTTCTATATTAGAAGGTAGCACATTCATATCTAGTGGGAAGTACAGACAGACGATACTCTTAACAGTTTTTATAGCAACGTGATAAACACAGCCTATTCAGTTCACCACCCAGCAGTGGAGGCAATTACAGATAGCTTCCATTTATCGAAATATTTCACTGAAAATAACCTAAAAGATAACAGGAACAAACGTTTGATAAAATCTAAATACTGCATTTAATACAATACAATTTACATTTATATATTGTCTTTCACGTTGGGAGGATGTTTCAAAGTGCTTAACGCTGCTGGCTGGGTACCCGAGCTGGGCTGGAAGCTGAAGCGGGTGGGAAGGGGAAGGATGACTGAAAGTAGTGAGAATTAATATGTGTTCACTGCTTTTAGACATGCATTCTATGTGAAAGCAGGTTTACAATTGCAAGTCATTGTTGATGCAAATAGGAAAACTGATGTAAAGTGTATCCTTTTTGGCCAGATGTATAATTTGAAGTTGTGTAGGTCACACGATCATTGAGAACTTCTTACGTCTAACAGTGATACACAAGCTTCATTACCGCGGCTTGTTATCCTGTGAAAAGCCCCAGGTGGTGTCCGATCTATCTTGACAACCTTGTCATTTAAAACAATTGTTATTTTGTTACCTGTAGTTATTGTGGCATACAGTGTACTACCTCCTGAATAAGCGATCTCAGACAAACACATTTTTTAAAAAATGCATGCCCATTAGATTTTATGTAAATTATATGTCACCAGCTGACGAGAGGTAAATAAACAAACTTACCTTACATATAGTGAGCGTTTCTGATTGGTTCTTAGAGATCCAGACCCAGAACTCATACTGTGATTCATCATCTGTTCCCGCAAATCATGGATTTTTGCCTCAAAACGGCTGTACTCTGTATGGGGAAGGGGACGGGCCAAAAGAGAAAAAGAAAATCTTGTTAGCTTTTACCTTCCTAGAGTACTGTACATTCAACATCAGGTTCATCAAATACATAATGACAGCATTCAGCAAGACATCCTTCCTCTGCTCCCTCATCCCTTTCTTTCACCACCAGAAAACTCAATGCACATGGATAGAAATATAGCACTAGTCATAGAAATCAATAGCCATTTCCTAGGTGACAAAAATGTTTGTATTAAAGAAACTGATAAAATCAGGCTCAGTTTATCCAGCTTTAAATTTAACAGTTCCACACAATCTATTGCAGACACGCTGTATTTGGAGCTGAAAGGTTGAAGACTAAGACATAGTAGCAAACAAAATCCATCCTTGTCACACTGAATTATTGATTCTATCTGGTAAACTTCATCAACCTTTCAGATATCGCTTTGGTACTCTTCGACATCTTCTATTAAATGCTGCATACCTGGTTGCAAATTTACATAGAGACACACATAGGAATTGCACAATCAGGTTTACAAAACAACTCTATGAACAGCAGTCACATATTACAATCACCGGATTCTAAATAAAAAATATTTTCTGCCGGAAACGTTAAGGACAGTATACTATTTAAAAAAAAATACTGATTTTTAAAAATTGCCCTCATTTTGCTGATGGTTTTAACCCTTGGGAATTAAAACACTGGTATTTTAAACAGAAGAAGCTGGATTCCCTTGTATTTGTCCCAAAAGACGTATCTATCAACCAGCAAAACCCGCATTCTGGTCCAAAATGATTGTCAATATAAATAAAATTCTGGTCTCTTAACAACTGTAATTCTGTCATAGCTCAATCACGCAGCTCTTCCTAGCACACATCTTCCGCTCCATTGTACCAATTCAAGGCAAGGCTACAAGAAAGGATTTTAAGAAGCCTCCAATTTTTTTAATGAAAAAATCACAGCGTTACTACTGAGCAAAAAAAAGAGTTAAGAAAACAAAACAAAAATCTCAAATACCTGCAAAGTACAATTACAAAATTACATTGCAAACCATGCACACATTTACCACAGCAGGAGAACCTCGACAACCAACTGAGGGAAATCACCAGGGAAACCAAACACATTTAAATGGATTGCTATAAACCTCCAACCCAGTTAATTTCAGCAGATACATTTTAAATAGACACTGAGACTGGAGTCAGCATGCGATTATTGTTTCATGGATGATAAATCATTGATTTCTTTGCTGAAAACAAGCCTACCTTCCCAACCGTGTTCGACGCTCGCCAGAGATAATCACAAACTAGGACTACGCTATAACAGCAGCTGAAGCAACAGCAGCAGCAGCAGTAACAGCAGTCATACGCTCAAGACGGAATGACCCATTAAAAATGTGCAGTCAAACCCAGTGTCATTTGACAAAGTTGAAGCACCAGTGTTGCTCTTATTTCAACTAGTCCTCCTATCACTGCAGTCTGTAGTGCCACATGATAGAATGGTTTAATAGCTAATAACATCAAACAACAAAAAGCTTTAAATGCTGACAGCAGCTTTTTACTCTACAATCAGCCATCATTTACTGCATTTTATTTTTTATATCCCTCTTGCCTAGGGGTTTTGCGCTCACATATTCAGTCAGACGACCCAAGCTAATCATTCCTCATATTCCCCACAACTCTGAAACCTCCCCCCCACCCTATCTGAAAGTGACCTTGTTCCATATCACTTCATGTTCAAACAGGTCTCGAACGTCATACGAAAAAACGAATAGAAAATTTAAACCTTTTTGTTTATACGGAGTAAATCAAGGTTCTGTATCCCAAACATTAATATCAATGGACGGGCACTGTGTTAATATTTTTTGTGTCAATCAAAATGGGATGGGGCGTGATTTAATTTTGCATTTCAGTACTTCAAGACTGAACAGGCATATGTTAAGTTTAAAAATTACTTTGAAGCTACCATTTTATATACCACACTGTGATATACAATGTGAGGTGATCTGCAAAATGAACGTGAACAGTCTTTTACCCACAAAACATTTTGCATCAATTTGCCTTTAATTTGTATTAATTTACTCCACCATCAAGAAATGTCAGCTGATCCAAAATGCTGCTGTCCATATTATCATCCGTATCAAATCTCAATGGTCCATCACTCCAATCCTCACCAGGCTTCACTGTCTCCCTGTGTCTCTGTGGATTGATTTCAAGGACCTCACTCTGACCTATAAATCCCTTCACATGCTAAAACTTCCACTCGGATAACTTGGTCTGGCTACGTGTCGCTACCCTCTCTACCCATGCAAAGGTGGCTGAGCTTTCACATTCTACGCACTTAACTTATAGAACTCTCTTCCTTTCACCCCCGCCTCTCTATCTTCAAATCCCATTTTAAATCCTATCTCTTCAGCCTTTATTAGTATAGAAGATATATTCATCTCTCCTTTTCCTTGATCACCATCTGACCCCATCATTGCAAAGCATTCCAAGATGCTATTCAACGTGAAGTGTGCTATATAAATGCAAGTTATTGTTGCCTCAACATTTGTCTGATACACCTCCAATAGGTCAAAACACTATGATACACAGTCACATTTTCATTCACCTACTAAGTACACAATCATCAATTACCCTTTACAGCAAATCCTGTGAAGCGCTTTGAGATGTTTCAACAATGTGATGCAAGACACTATATCTAATGCAAACATTATTATTTATCATTATTATTATTCTCATCATCATCACTCTCCACTGTTGTCAGCAAACAACATACACAGTAAATCACCCATTTACAATAAAATATGGTTTTATTTTAATTAAAAAGATCACAATGTGGGATTGTACAAAACAGATAATACAAGATTGATCTAAATAAAAATGGAATTATTCCTGTCCACATAAAACATTCCAGGTTCAAAGAAATTAGACATCTTTTTTCAGCTTTGTAGTTTTTTTAAGAAAATACACAGAAAAATAATTATCATCAAATTATGCCTCTTTTATGTAATTTGCATAGTGTCGCTGCATTTGAAATGCAGAACATTGTTAGGAAGCCAAAGTACGCTTGGAACACTGATTTGAAAATAAATCTAGGCATCCACAGTCAGAGAATGAAAATTTTTCTTGAGAGCTTTCTTCCTGTACTATACCATTTACAAACCTTGAATTTGCTGCAACGCATTCCTTCCATGTCATTTACTCCAATGTTCTGTCACCCCCCATTACAACCCAGTTCATTCAAATCAGAGGGGACAAATTCAGTGTTTTCAATGTTCTAATCTTCATTATAATAATGCCATTGATACAACTGAACACACATCCTTCATATTACTAAGAAGCAACAGAATTGTTCCCATTAGGATAAAATGGAAGAACTCCAAAGAAAAGATAGTGTATTTCAAATCTATGGATGATGGATACTATTAGCTGCCACATTTTTTAATTCATGTTTATTGAAAAATAAAATAAATTTTTAATGTTCAGAAAAAAACCTGCAGCTTTTGCTTATGTTCATTTCTATTCGCATTGTGTAATATCAGGTATCTTCTAAAAAGTCACACATAAATTAAGGGGAATTTTAAAATGGTCACATCTGTTTTTGTGCCAGTTATTAAATGACAGAGTGATATGACATGGAAACAGGCCATTTGGCCCTACTAGAGCCAGTATTTATATTTCACATGACTTCTACTCATATTCCCCTCTCCTCTATACTTCTCTATTCCCTTGTCATTGTTCGTGATAAATAATTCCAGCACATTGAAATGCATCTAAAGTACATCTCAATATAAACCTTTTTGACCATGATTTTGGTCATCTTTCCCCTTCTTACCCCCAACCCCCACCCTCAGCTCGAGGGCTCAGCCAGAACTGTCAAGTGCTTTGGGACATCCTTCTGATGTGAAAAGCATGAAATAAGTGTAAATTGTATTCTACCATAATTCTGCAAAATGACATAAAACTACTACTTTTTTTTTAAAAAATCAATAAACTCCTTTACAAATCTATAACCAGCTGCTAGACCTATTCTCAAGTCAGTATTACTTTTCACACATGCCGCACACACACACGCACACACACACTAATTGTGATTTATCACTCAAATTTTACAACTGGACAACTTAAAGCTATTCGTTGTTTCAAGAAACGAATGAAGAGTAATTAATATATGAAGTGCAATGTCATCTGACTGATATGGATCACTAGGCAGCTTTTTTCACACCACCTTTAGGTTCAGCATGGTAGTGTGTATAATATAATAAGAGTTGTACATATGAAGATAGAAAGCTAGCTTCTTGCTCCTCTTCCATATTGATGGGCTCAGTTTAATGATACATTCAAAAGAGCACAACAGAGACTTGGATAAAGAAGGCTTTTTGTCTCATTTGATCTCATCCTTACGGATATCCAGCCTCCCATCCATTCATTACAGCATTCTAGCTGTTTTGTAAGTGGTTCTAGCATTCTGCCATCAACCATCTTTCCTAGGAACCGTATCTTTACACACAAAATACACTTTCCGGTGTCTGCCCTGAAATTGCTCATTACAACCCCAAACCTTTCCTCTCTTGTTCTGTTGCCTTGGAATGTTGATATTTATCACATTGGTTGTGCTGGAAGTAGACATCGTACACCCTTTCCCATATATCATTCTCAATGGTGATGTCTGAAAAGACAGATCCACAGCACTAGACTTTTGTCCTGTAGCCTGTGATTATTAATTAGCTAGTGGAAACCTGTTTTTTTATTAACCAAATGACTAAGAGAAGTCAATATTGTGCTAATTAGGAATCAAAAAACTCGAATTGTGAGCTTGGCTTTTCAAACATTGCCACTGAGGACAGCATTACAGTCTACAAGAGGTTTGTGTTTGAATGTCTTGAAGCACCTGAGACTGCAATTGGCGATTGATTAAAATTAAAAATAGTCTTAAAAGTTTCATGTGGACCATTAGCCCAAACTACCCCCAAATTTTGAAGAGGCCATTTCTGTGTGGCTTGGGTGACC